ATTCACAAATTTGGGACCTGAATGGCCGAGTGTCTAGCGCTCTGGCGCTCGGTGACACAGGTTTTCGGGTTCGATTCCCGGCGGTGCCATGGATGTTTGTAGTGGTTCGAATCCACTTTAAGCCGTAGGTCCCGGTCTCCTATGACTGTAAGAGAGTCACGGAGCCAAAGTCAGACTTCTTCCTACGGGTGCTCCATCACAACAGAAGCTGCTTCCTGCCCCTTCAATCATGAGTACGTATGGGCTCGTGGGCTTGGCCAGCCAAGTGGGATAAGAAACAACGATACTTACGTATTAAAGCTACCTTGGCTACAGTTGCGCCAATAAAGAGCAATCTTGTTGTTCGCACGCGCATGCAGTTATCTTTCGAACGCCAACCGCAGCTACAGATTTGGCGGTTTTTAAAATTCTGCTTCCCTCAAACCAGTTGTCTTTTCTAAGACCCCACATGATGCACACTGACTGAGATTGCATTTTCAAAACTTATGTTTACGAAAAAATAAAGTTTCATGTCATGGGAATTGGGACATTTTCGTTTTTTTGGTAAAATATTTCGCTCCTGAAAAAATAAAATTGCATCTTGTTCTGTTTCTGGCAAATCCCAAATACGTATTTTCGTAGCACTAAAAAATGTCGTCAAAAATCAGCAAATATGTAGCTGTTAGATTGGCGACACTTAAAACCGCCAAATCTGTAGCCAATTTGTTAATACGTAAGTACCGAAACAACAACAACAACAAAAAATTTTTTTCCATTACCTTATTTATTTTTCAGATCCATGGTGGCTGGGAGTGATGGTGTCGATGGTCGGGAAGTTCTGCATAACTTGCTCCTTCGCCATTGCTTTTGTCTTCACGGCAGAGATCTTCCCCACTGTTGTGAGGAACATAGGCGTCGGAGCTGCTTCAGTCTTCGCCAGGATTGGATCCATTCTAGCACCATTCATCAGAGAACTGGTAAGTATTTTTATGCAAATTCAGGGGACAAAAATCCGTCAAAAGAATATAATATTAAGTATTGTAGTGTAGTCGGTTGTTTGTGCAGCTGGATCTGGGTAAGTTTGGACTAGTTGAGACACAGGTTTATTGACCCGCACACAAACACGATACACATACAATTACAGATAGACAATATTTAACACATTTAAAGACATACTACTGTGCCCAAAAGTAAGACCAATTTTTATTTTTTTTCAAAAACTCTTTATTTATTCTTCCAAATTTATTTCATCGCCTTCAAAGTAATCCCCTCCCGACACAATGCACTTATGCCAACTTTTCCCCCAATGCTCAATGCATGCTAAAAGGCGCGCGATTCACGTTGAATCTCTTCAATCGACTCGAAACGGTGTCCCCGGAGTGGTCTTTTGAGTTTAGAGAATAGCCAGAAGTCGCACAGTGTGAATACGGTGGTTGTGGAATGCAACATTCTATACGTTCCGCACACAAAATTCAACGCAAGTTCTTTGCTCAATGAATTCAGGCATTTCAAAAATCGCCGGAATCCCTTTTCGCGTCTCTCACAAAGCCAAGCGTTACTGAAACAATAATGAATATTTTTGACGTCGAATACTTCCACACTGTCGTGAGGAACATAGGCGTTGGAGCTGCTTTCAGTCTTCGCCAGGATTGGATCCATTCTGGCTCCATTCATCAGAGAACTAGTAAGTAATTTTATGCAAACCCAGAAAAAAAAATCAAGTGTCAAAAGAATCTAATATTTAGTATTATTTATATGAAAAACTAGCAAGGCCTGAATGGCCGAGTGGCTAGCACTCTGGCGCTCTGCACCCCAGGTTTCGGGTTCGGGTCCCGGTGGTGCCATGGATGTTTGTAGTGGTTCGGATTCCACTTTAAACTGTAGGTCCCAGTCGAATAGGATCGTAGAGCGTTGCGGGGGCATTGTTACTCCGCATCCGTGGCTTATCTTCAAGTTACACGCGCCCCTGGGTAATGCAAAGTGAGTAACGTCTGTGCAGCGCTTGCCTTAAGGCATTCGAGGCCAAGCTGTCTATGTGTTTGCCAGCTGCATTAGAAAGAAAAAAAATATAAAAACTAGCAAAACCCGGCGTACGTCTTGCTAAAAAAATGCATTGTAGAAATTTACAAATCGCGAATATATTCTCCATGTTCCAATATAGGTGCATACTCATTTTTCATGGATATCTTTTGAACGGCATATAAGATGAAATGCTGCAGCACCATCATCCTGGTGGCAAGCAACTGGGTGGAAAGCGCGAATTTATTTTCCGTACTTGACCACATATTAATGCAAATTTTTAATGATTGGTTGAATTGGAAGTTGATATACTTAAGCACCATCTGGTGTCGAGTTATAACAAAGGGGATAGCATAAAAATGCTTTGCATGTTTTGTTAAACACACAAAAAATTTCATCAAAATCAGTCAAAGCCATTTTTAGGAAGAGTTCAGTGACAAACACACGTAAAAAAGAATATATATATATATATATATAATTTATAGTTAGGTTATGAAAGAAGTATTTTAAGTTAATTAAATGGCTCTTTTACATTATAGAACTGTCATACCTACCCGTGGAAACAACTTTTTATGCAATATTTCGTTCACCTGTTCATATAACAGGTGGGCTGAAATGTTCGTAGGCTGACACATAGATAGCCCTAACCTTCAAAAGACATGTTTATAGATTTAACAGCTGTCAAAAGACACGTGTATCAATGTGACAGCTTATAGCATTATTAGTGAGTTATAGCATTTTTAGTGTTCATCAGTGCAGTCCACTCGGCTGACTGTCGATTGGACTCCGGTGTGAAATGATGGAGCCATGTTTCATCCATTGTCACATATCGACGCAAATATTCGGGTTTATTAAGATTGAACAGCTCCAAACACTGCTTAGAATCATCAATTCGTTGTTGTTTTGGGTCGATTGTGAGCTCGCGAGGCACTCACTTTGAACAGACTTTCGCATATTTCGCATATCCAATATTCATTCACGATATGTCCAACACGTTCCTTTGATATCTTTAGGGTCTCAGTTATCTCAATCAACTTTACTTTACGGTTATCAGAAATTATTTTGTGGACTTTTTGATGTTTTCGTCGGTAACATATTCTTTGGGGATAGCCTCTTAAATAGATCGGTCTCAAAAGAAAAGAAAAATTATAAATTAAAAAATACTCTACGGTTGATTTTTAAACAACATGTTAAACTAAAGTTTAAAGCCAAGACTTCAGGCTTGAATAAAATTTTCACCAAAAAGCAATGCTTTATTAACACACGAAATTCCTTTTTATCCATTTTTTTTCAATGAACTAACAAAAGTTGACTTCACTAAAAATGTTGTAACTGGATATGGTATTTAATACTAGTAGTATAAATCATATCTTTTTACTTTGTGTGTGTATAAATCATCTATGGATTTAATACTAGAGGGAGATTGTAATGTGTCAGCCTACGAACATTTCAGCCCATCTGAAACTGCTCATAATGCTAACTGTGTAGCAATACGACTGTTCAATTTTTTAAATTTGGATTATGTATGACTTAGCACCTTCTGGTGAAGAATCATTCAACCATTCCACAGACAACATATTTATGAAAATTCGTCGGAGTACCATTTACATAATTATTTATAAACCGGAGCCAGATTTGGGTTAGTGGTAAATTATTTAAAAGCACTTATCGTTGATAATAAAGAACTCTATTAATGTGGACTTCGCAGCAAATTTCTTTGCAATTAATAAATTTAATTTAGCCCGACATTAATATAAAAAACAAGGATACTGGTCCATAATATTAATGTTTAAAAATGAATCTTAAAGTTTTTATTAAATCGACTCTATTGTACAGTAGGGCTTGAATGGCCGGTGGCTAGCTTTGGGGCTCTGGCGCTCGGAGACCCGTGGTTTCGGGTTCGAGTCCCGGCATGAATGCCAGGGTTTGAACATGGTTCGGAATCCACTTTCACTTAAATCGTGGTCCCGGTCTATTATGATCGGAAGCATTGGGGGCAACGTTACCCGCGTCCGTGACTTAAAATTGTGTTACGTGCGCTCCCAGGAACATGCAAAGCGAGTAACGTCTGTCCTGGCGCTTGCCTTAATCAGGCATCGCGACCAAGAACACTGTCTAAGTATTTGCCAGTTGCATTCAAAGACCACCAAGAAAAAATATGCAATTGGGTCAAACTGCTTAAAATCTGGTAAATAGATTCTAAAAGAAAAAAATAATTATAAATTAAAAAATGAGGCTTTTAACTCAAAGCTTAAACAACATGTTAAACTTGAAGTTTGAAATTTATAAAATGTTCAGGTTTCTGAATAAAAATATATAGCTAATAAAATGGAATTTCAACATATAACTTAAAACTAAAGTTAAAGATAATTATTTGTTAAATACATTAAAAGCCATTTATGTTCTAAAAACTTCTTGATTCATATTTATATTTTTTAAAAGCAACACTGTTAAAGTCTGGAGTTGCCTGGTGGATAACGCATTGAAACTAGTTCGCAGTTTCTAAACTAGTCTTTGTAAAGCATAAACTATAACGCTCGTACTATATAAGTAACATCGAATAGGTATTAAATATTCATCCAAACTCTTAATTGTTGCTAACAATCTTTATTTTATTATTTAATTAAAAAATTTCATGCCAAGCATTAACTGAGTGAAATAAATTATATGTTCAATATCATTTTACTATTTTTATAACTACAATAATAAACTTAATGTTGAGTTTTTAGCAATTAGTCAGTTATGTGACATGGCATGCATGTATCCATATATTTTCTAAGAAATGAATACATTAGCTGCTTAAAAATGATTATAATTTAAAGGAAGGAGGAGAATATTTATGTACAATGTGATTGAAGTCGAGATGGTCATTAAAAAAAATGGAGGTTTCATAAAAAGGCCGGATAATCCATGTCCATGCTGGGGATAAGCATAATATATCTTCTGTTCAGACTGTCCTTCCAACTTAATAGTTGAGTCATTTATTTATGTACTTTTACAATGACGACCATACCATGCTGAATATACCAGTTCTCGTTAGACCACCCGAAGTCAATCATCATTGGGCGCGGTCAGTACTTGGGTGTTGTGACCACCTGGGGACACCGCGTGCCGTTGGCATTCACAAATTTGGGACCTGAATGGCCAGTGTCTAGCGCCTGGCGCTCGGTGCCCCAGGTTTCGGATTCGAGTCCCGGCAGTGGTGTCATGGATGTTTGTAGTGGTTCGGAATCCACTTTAAGCCGTAGGTCCCGGTCTCCTATGAGTGTAAAAGAGCGTCACGGAGCCAAAGTCAGACTTCTACCTACTGGCGCTCCATCACAACAGAAGCTGCTTCCTTCCCCTCAATCACAAGTACGTATGGGCTCGTGGGCGTGGCCAGCCAAGTGGGCTGAAACAACAACAACAACAAACAACACTTTTACAATAGCTTGTTACCTACAATACTTTTACAATAGCTTGTTTTCTTCAATACCCTTCTTTCTACAATAGTTTGTTTTCTTCCCCAATACCTCACAACAGCTTGTT